TTCCCACCATGACTGCAGCTGTACCTGCAGTGGTTTGTGGGATGGGGTTGAGAGGGCTGGCTAGTCAGTAGGGGGAAGCAAAGGGCCAGGAGGCACAAAAAATAGCCCAGTGTGAGGGATGTGAAAAGAGCAGCCCTGTGGCTGGTGTCAGTGGCTGGATTTTCCTAGTCCTGGGGAAAACCAGTACATGGATGGAAGTTCCATGTACTGGTTTGATCTAAATCAAGTAAATCTGATACTACATAGATCCAGGTTAATCTTAAACTGGGTTCTGCAATTTTTACACGGTTTGTATGCAGAGAACTTCTGTTCACTTAACAGGTTTAGACTGATTGCCCATCACTGAGACAGGGTCTGTAAGTGTAAAGTCAGCACCAGAACAAGCTAAGTTTAAATCAGGTGGTCATTTTGAGCCTGATTTAACCTCCCCAAGCGTCTGTACTCAGCCCACAAATTTAACTGCACTGAGAATATTCTGAAGTGTGCCTACAGCTATCTAAAGCTACAGGCACACTGTTAGTACTGCAAGGCATGTTCACTACAGTTCTTACTGAACCGCCCCCCCACCCAAAGCCTTGTCCTTACAGTCTCTTCAGTCTCTAAGCCTGGCTGCTAAGAGCTGTAGTTATGTTACTTTTATTATACCTCCCTTTTCATACCAATTAATTATGCTAAGGCTGTTTAATTGTCGGAACATGACAACATAAATTAATTTGAACTGATTTTCTGATGCTTTTAAAATTTCTCCTAATTCCTCATCTATTCAAGCAGTCAAGCAAAATATTGGCTTCTGCAGCATGTAGTAGTTTAGTTGTAGCAGATTTCTGCAATTTTGGTGCATTTAAAACTTCCATCCCTTGTACCTGAAAGGTGAGTCCTGCATCTGAGAAGTGTTTTTATCCCACTTTTTCATACTGTTTGCAGCACTCAACCAATGCAGTTTTAATTTACTTTGCAGTACTTGCTATAAATGATGTTTTTTCTTTACTGATTTTTCCAAATGGGTAACATAAGCACACACAGGCTGTAAAAAAATTAGGGGGAGGAGAACAGCTGGGACAGAAAAAGGCAGAGATACCTCCCTTCCCCAAACCTGTTAACTTTTCACTTATGGATGCAGTCAAAACTGCCATCCAGATAGCCCTGCAGGGGGGTGCAAGGGCAATACCTGTTCCCTGGGAAACAGAGTATTTACCAAGATCTAGATTGCTTAGGTGATAAGAGGAAGAACTATAAATGGTCTTGGGAGATAGATAGGCAAAAGCATAACTCCGCTGTGTGGGGGTGGGTGAAGGAAGCAGGATGTTGCCTCCTGTTTTTGCCAGTGACATATATGTTAAGCAGCTATTTAAATAATACCCCCAACAGTGGCACATCTCTGGCCACTACTCCTACCACTACTGCCACTCTGCCCTCCCCACAGCTAGAGCCAGAACCAGAGCCACTGCCAGAAGGTGCAGTGAGGCACCACCTTTAGGCAGTGCTTAGGGCTCATGCCCGACTCACCCACCCATCCTTATGCTACTGCAAACATAGGAGAACCCCTGGAAGGGTGATAAGACTGAGTAAAGTCCTGAACTCAGTTTCTCCAACTTAGCTGAAAATTGACACAACCTTCAATGAAGTCCACTGGCTTTAGTGGGAGTTGGATAAGGCCTTTATAACCTAAGGAAAGAATTGCATGCTATTTTAAGGTAGAATGATGATTCAGTGTAGGCTTTGAGTTTCAACTTCATAATAGGCTGTGTTCAACAAATTATGGTTTAAGACTTACGATGGTTCTTCAGACACCACAGCTCCTTCTTCCAGCTCTTGAGCCTGTTTATACCATGGCAGCTTTGCTTCTACAGGAAGTTTCTCTGTGGAACATACAAAGCACATGAAAACAGAAAACATACAGGAACAATTCTATGGACACAGGGATCATTTCTGTAAGTGAATGTGCCTGTATTTACAATTGTACATGTGCAGGGTGAGCAGCAGAGAACAGGGAAAGGGTGAGAGACTCTGTTGTTTCTTGGAGTATGCAATATTTGAAGAAATATGGTCAATAAGAGAGCTTTTGCTTTTACATTTCTGGAAAGAGCTTGGCTAATTACGTGTATAGTCTGTGCAGGTGAACATTTCAGCAAAGCATTTTTTTCAAAAATAATATTCACATCCAAGTTGGCTTGTGAAACCATTCATTTTGAAAATCAAAGGGGAAAACCAATTTTAAGTCATTTTGTAGAACCTGAATATTTTGAACTGCATATTATGGCTTTTGTTTTTCTGAATTTGCAAAATACATTGAGCCTCTAGTCCTTCTCCCTACCATTTAGAAATAAATCATTGTGTAGTGCATTGCATCAAATTCATTTCCACAAGTCACAAAGGAGGAAGTTCCATGTTGTGTGGGGGACTGGCAGCACTTCAACCTCATGTAAGCTCTCAAAATGAATGCCTAATTGAGGCTTATATGATGCATAAGTCCTTGTGCTGGCTTTCACACCAAAATTATTTTCAGCAGAGGACAAAAAAATCCCCAGAAACCCATATTGACTCCATAACAGACCATCATTAACACTGCATTGATCAAGTGTCCAAAACCCTATCTACCTTTAAGTGTTACAGCCTCACAAGGCATAGTAAACTCACTTTTGATAGATTATGACATTGAAGAAAATCCAGGTCTGATGAGTGATACCACAAGAATGAGAGAAAACCAAAACAAAATAGTTCAGTGATGTTCTTTGCCTTTAAACTTATCAGTTCATCAACTGTGTGGATTTAAAGAACGAGTTGGATACTTTATCTGTCATTTTTGATGGAAAATAACAGCTGCTTTTTCCCCCCCTCCACGATCTGCATAAAATATAATAAGCTGTTTTTGGGAAGAAAAAAGTCCATGCTGAGAGCTAAATTCTGTTTTCACAGTGGCATAACTTTGGACAATCTGTGCTAAACTCAGTAGAACCACTCTGGCTTTACATTGGTATAAACTGAAAGCAAATTAGGCATTACTCCTCCAAATCACCTCTGAATTTCTACTGAGTATTTTTGGTCAGCATTAGAAAAAAATAGCATGGAACACAAAGTTGAATACAAAGGATGAGAACCAGGGTCAGGCCTCTTTACCACTTCAGTCCCATTTAAGCCTTCTAGATTCAGTAATGCCAGCCTACAACACCACTTGTGCTAGTCTACAGCTAAGGGTTAATTTGACCTGAAAGGAATGAATTTTCAGGTAGTTGGTGCATGTCGTACTGGAAATTTTATATGACACTACCTCAACTGCCAGTAGCGATATTAGTAATTTATAAGGATCAGAATTTGCAATATCACTTCTTAGCTACTGCAAACAATGCAAGCAGACAAGTAAATGCAAAGGTTCCTGGGAATAAATTAGTGGCTGGGAGGGAAGAGCACAGCAGTAGAATTGTTATGCCTTCATTACCAGAAATAACTAGCTAGGATCCTTTTCTCCTATATTTACTGGTGCTGTATATAAGGATGAATATATGCCAAAACAGCTCTTAGTTTAATCTGTATTTTGCTGCATTTGTTATCCAAAAATGTAAGACAGATGTCTATTTATACACTGTACAGCTTATTTTACAGGCTTTGGAAAGCCAGAAATTATTACTTCGCTTTCTTTTTTAATGCAGCTTCTTGCAAAATGCAAAATATACTCTTCTATGCAGATAACTGCAAAATTACTTTTTTTTATAAGTTTTCATTTTGGGGTGTGGATGTGGGAAGAGATGGAAGTAGAGTAATTCCAATAATTTAAATTATAAAATGAACTACTGTATTAGGGGTGTGATTTGACAAACAAGGAAACAAAATAAATTCCTAATGTAATTCAATGAAGAAGCTAAGATTTTAGAGATAAAAGAATAGCTCACCTTTTGGTAACAGATTTCTGTTTTTAACATGGTACAAACCCTTAGATTGTGTTATTCAACACAACTGACAAGAGGAGCACTGCATTCTCTTCTAATATTAAGAACCGATATTTCAGTTACACGCACTCTAGGCCAGATACAGACTTCTACCAGTCTAAACTCATAACAGAACAGAAGTTCAGCACACACAGACTGGTTTAAAAATGGTGGAACCTGGTCTAACATTAGGAGGCCTTCTCACAACCAAAGGGCAAATGTGTTCTGCTTGCTACCTATCTAAACTAAACCAATTACGGAAAACCACATAACTTAGATCCATTCTGTCTTGGGCTTTTTGAATGTCTGTACCTAGCCCTGAAATGTACCAAATGATCCTCTATTAGTCTTGTACACAGTCAGCACTGACAAATGCCCAGGCCCCGGCTCTAACTCATGGTGCTTTACATAATGCTGTTTGCCTCTTGGGTTGGGGTGGGGGGGCAAGGGGAGGAGAGATGGAGCTACCCTTTGGAGTTGATTGAGTAGAGAAGCCTGCCTGAAGCTTCTCTCCTCCAACACCCACCCCAACTCTAGTGTTGTCTGCAGGAAGGGAAGGGGGAGAAGAGAGGAGGATGGGGAGGCTAGTTTCAAAAAGTTAAGTTATAACTGTTGTTTGCCCTTCTATTTCATACAGAGAACATTAAGATAAAGATTTGTTCTTTATTTTCTGTTTTACTGGGTCAACAGGATGAAATCATTGTTTTTCTGACCTGTGTTAACCCTGCTTCAAAAAGCAATAGTAAGGTAGGAGGAAGTATTGAACAGAAGGTATGTGTTTTTCTACAGATATTGGCTATAATAATGTTAGGCTTGTTAAATAAATCATCTCTTTTTGGATTGATCTCTAGCAGCATTCAAGGCCACAGGAACATGGGGCTGCAAATTGCACCACCTGATACATATGGAAGCATTGAACCTGAAGCAGTTTACATTTAAAACCAAACAAAAAAAAGGTCTTCAGATGAAAACAACACATGGGATGTGTGGTTCTCCTTTGGTGAGGAGATGAAAGAAAGAATGAACCACTCAGTATTACATTATATAATGTACGATTGGAAGCTGCTTTGATACTACATCAGTATTGTAATTAATTCCATCCTTTATTATGATCGGAAAGATCTTTTTAAATATTATCTTCCATTAGCAAAGTGCTACAGGGACAATGTAACTCAGCTGGAGTACACCACAGATGAATCTGGGCTTCCTCTCTAGGGGCATCTATACATCAGGCTGTGTGAAGCTTCAGTCTCTGATTTAATTTGGTGGAGATTTGGCCCAATTTGGTGGCTGAATTTCCGAATCGGAACTGAATCAGAGGACCCTTCAATTCTCTCTGAATTGAATCGGAACCCACTGGATTGGTTCAGAGAGAATCGGAAAGAGTCGGTGATTCTCTACGTACCTCTAGACAGCAGGCAGCTCATGAATGCTGCAATGCTGGGGCACATGGAGTGTCCCACAGAAGCGTGGGGGGCTCCCCAGCACGCTCAGCAGCAGACCCGGAAGTGGACCAGAAGCACTTCCGGTCCACTTCCAGGTTCACCACCGAGCATGCGGGGGGGCCCCATGCTTCCATGGGATGCTCCATCTGCCCCAGCATTGCAGTGTTCATGAGCTGCATGTAGTACCTCAAGGTATGTAGAAAAAAGCATTTAAATGCTATGTCTGAATCACTGATTCTCCAATTCAGCATCGAATCTTCAGATTCGGCCGAATCAAGTCAGGGACAGTGAGCTGAATCAATGAATCAAATTACTGTCCCTGATTCGGGCCGAATCTGAATCCAAATAGAATAGGGCCTGCTTCATATGCCCCTACTATACATGTGCTCTAGGGGCAGTGAGAGGGGCTTTAATTAGAGTGGCTCTGAGCAGCCACTGCGTCACGTGTATTCAGTTTCCTGTGCTTCAAAATGGTGACGGGAGCCAATTTGAAACATGGGGACACTGAATACACGTGATGCAGAGGCTGCTGGAGCACTCTGATTAGCATGCTCCTGCAGACTTGCAGTAGACTCAGTTAACTGAGTCTGCTCCAACATGGGCTAATTAGCATGTGTCAGAGCAGAGGTCCATCACGTGCATAGGTGCCTTAGGTTGCTGAGTCCACAACTGACAAAACCAAAACAGGAGCCTATTAAGGAGCTACAGGATGCCAGTGACTGGTGTAGTAATGGCAGAGTCTGGTGGGTAGCAGTTCATAAATTACTGCATTCAGGTGAACTCAGGAAAGTGTAGTTAAGATACCAAGAAGCAAAATCATTTCTTTTATGTGGAAGAGCCCTACCTTTGGGTTTATAGCAAGGAGTGCGTACGATGCAGTCTTCCTTTATGTGAGGCTTTGTTTTTGGGCTGCAGCCTCCTGTGTGCATCCCTCTGTGATCAATGCACAGAACTACACGGTATCTAAGCCCCTGTCCACATGTTATAGTGCACTGAAAAAAAGAATAAGCACAGAATCTCATATATGCAGTAAAAAAAAAAAAAAAAAAAAATCCCCAAGGGAAAAATGTTGTATACAAGAATAATGTATTAGCAGTAGAGGGCAAAATTGGGAGCAGAAACAGGTCACATAGATGATAGATCAGTCATATTATTTGGTACTGACCAGTTAAGAAAAAGCTGACTGACAGTTGCTGTTTCTTCCTTTCTGTTTTGCACAGTTTGCTTTAGACATTTGGCTACTGAGTTTCGCTTAGTGTCACTCCAATACCACTCTCAGCAGTGGCCACTTGGCCTCTGGCCATTAATTCCATATTTGACTTGCTTACTAACATCTTGTCATTTTCAGCTATGGCCGCTTCTCTTCTGCTTGCACTAGGTACTAGAACTTACAGAATGTAACACCAAGATATTTTGGAAGATGGCACTATGCAGAATGAGAAACCATTTCGGCTTCATTCCTTCAAACATTTTCTCATGTCCGATTTCTTTTTCTTAGTAAGATACAGCATTTTTTCCTCAGGAAACCAGGCTTCAGAGATAGCTGGACTGGAGAAATCTAAAGAGCATTAACCAAAGAGAATGGCAGTAGAAAGTAACAACAGTGCTTCAATGCATTCAAATGCATTCAATGTATTCAAACAATGCATAATAATGAACGCATATTGTGTGTTCATTATTATCCTTGAAATCTGTTTTTTTTGAGGGGGGGAGGATGGGAGACAGGACGGGGATGGGGACTGAGATAAATAGGCTAAGTGACTCATCTATGGTCAGGCCTCTTGGAACAGAACTCACACCTCTCTGTTTCCAGTCCTGTGCCCTTAAACACAAGGAGAATCCAGGCTTGGTAAGTACGTGGGGATCACAAGCACCGAGCAGTGATTACACATCATGATCACAGTGGTTTCCTGCATTTTTTTAGCTCAGAGGCCACAATACTGAGCAACCTTAGGCTTAACTTGATAATTTCTTATTGCCATGAGCAATGTCAGAGGGGATAGTTGTCCCCAAACTCTGAGCTGTGGGTCTAATGAGTAGGATAGCATAGATAGCTATATTTCAGGCCACAGGTCAGATATCCAGGATATGAGATTTGAAGTCAAAGGCAGGTGATAAATGTGTATTTGAACACATCCATGCTCCTCTTCAGTATGGTATGTACCATCATATTTATCACTTGTAGCTGATTGTTATTAAATGTGGCCCATCTGATTTGCTCTTTCATCCATCTTAGTTGATGTTATTAGTCCTGAATATTTATTCTGTCAAAATAATACACCAGGTAAATGGCAGGCAATTTTCACAGGCTCATTAAATTATCACAGACATTTAGTGAAACTGAAGATCTGGTCCCAATGCATTAAATAAATAATCAAAGTAAAAAACCCAAACAACCAGAACTAATTACCGGAGACCACTCTTGAGCCAGCCACTTTGGACAATCAAATATGTTGCAGGGCTGAACAACAGGCATCTTTGGAGTGTACATGCACTTCCACTCTTCCACAGGGCTGATGTGCCCCTGAATGTCTTCCTCTACACAAGAGACTGTGCGGCTCTGAATGCCTCCTCCACATGAGGAGGAACAGGCTGTCCATGGAGTACTTTCCCACCTGCAAAACAAAGCATCAATAAAGGGGAAAAAAAAGAAAAATGCCTAAACTTTTTGGTAGGGCCCTCCCAACTCCACTCTTCCCCACAACCTCTGTTTTTGGACTAGCAAGTCTTGCTTTGTTAAGGAAAGCCTGAAAAAGAAAGCATATGTCTATATATTGTCTTTTAAAGAAGTCTTCTAAGTTAAAGACTAGTGGTAAGAACCTCCCGCTTTTCCAGGAACCAAGGATATCACCACAGAGAATTTCAATTAGCAGGATCATTATATCCTGGTACAATGTGCCATGTCTTGGGAAATGCAAATCCCAAAGCAATGGAAGCTCAATATGCCTTACTGCTAATGTCCTTACGCGAAGAAGCCAGGCCACCCATTACTACAATCCCCATATGATAATGTTAGTCAGGGAAAAACAAAGACAGAAGGAAGATTTCCAAAGTGAATAAAACGAGATTGTGATAAAGCATGTATGAACAGTGGATAAGGCTATATCTAGGGATATACTGATGCAGCTAGTAATGATCAAAGAAATGATGGGAAACAATGTTAGCTTTGTCTGACTAGTACTGAAATAATGAAAGGAATTTAGAGACAATTTAATTAGATTTACAGGTGGCATTTTGTTGAGAAAAAGAAAGTGAAATATTGACAGACAGATGTACATATTTTGAAAAAGCTGTTGCTACTTTATGAGAGTAAATTATATATTTAAACATACATTTCACAAAAAATACATGCACTATATAGGTGTACAAACAATACCTGTGTGTATTTGTGTTTATACATATATATATATTTATAAAATGCACACAAGGGTATGTACATATGCACTGAAAACTTGCTGGTCTGGAAGCAAGTCATGTTGGCAACTATTAGAAAGAAGATACTGAATTGCTGATCTGATCAGGCAGTCCCTGGATAAATACAGGCTCCATGGGTATCTGTGCATTAGAACTGCCCAAAATTTTTCAACAAAATATTTTCCGAATGAAAGTAACTTTTCAACATTTTCTCTCTCTTTTTTCGTTTAACAAAAAGATCAAAATTTGTCAAAACAAAAAAATCAATTTCAGCAAAAAAAAAAAATCTTTGGCTTTTAACCAGAATAAAGCTTTTTTTCTTCCCCATTGCAATAATGTTAATTTAGTAATTAAACAAAATTTAAAAAGTTACAGAAATGTCATAGGAGATGAATGCATTAGATTTCTTCTCCATTTTTTTTACCCTATCTCCTAACTGGTACTAATGTACACATATGGTGCATACAGGCTACATAATAGCTGACTTCATGGTAAAAGAGTTTCATTGACATCAAGATGTGATGGCTGCATTGTTTACAAGTGCCAAAGACTCTGGTGACTTATGTAAATTGCTCCAGAGGAGTGCTGACACAACTTCCTGTGTTCCACATGTAGCAAAACCCCCAGTTTTTCTTGTTTTTCTTTTAAAATGCATTCCCCCTCCCCTTCCCCAACCATTTTTGACTTTGTCTCTCCCTCTCTATTCCCTATAGATAAGTGTAAGTAAGCTAAGATATAGGATAAGCTTTAACATTTTATTTTAGGTAGTAAGTTTTAATTTTTCTCTCCCCTCTTTGAAAATAAGTGCCCTGCTATTTTGATATAGATATCCACTGTTATATAAGTGATAATTATTATGTTTGTATTGATTCTTTTTTACTGCTTTTATATTGTGAGATTACTGTTTTAGGCCTTTAGGTAAGTTAGCATAAGTCATGTCAAGTTTCCATCTTGTAATGTCAAGCCTTCATCTTATCCCCATGCCTGATTGTATAACCTATGACTCATACTACCCCTCCTATATAACTTGGCTCCTGAATGAATGAGGATGAATGGGGGTGCTTGAGAGTAGGCAGTAGGTCTAAAAATAGCTCCCCCTGAATGACTGACCTATAGACACCAATACCTGGACCAACAACCCAGCCACTGGAACCACCCACAGCATTCAAGAAACAAAAGATGCAGCAACCCACCATTGTGCCAAGGCTGCACATGCTCAATATGAACATCTGGAAACCTCTGGAATAGGACTGACCTTGCCTGAACAGGCCCTCCCAGAGGAGATCATAGGTAGTCTACCCCATAAAAAGGGGAAGTGAAGACTGACTCCATGGGAATGCTATTTCCATCTGGACCAGACCAGCTCCATGTCTCTCTGCCCCTCTGGACAACACCGAGCTGAAGGAGACCCCAACTGGCCATCGAGGACCCACTTTCAGCCTGGGATATGTAAATATCACCTGCATATTTCCTCCTCCAATTTGGACTCTCTCTCTCTCCTCCCGGATTTCAGCCCCTGCACCAAACCTCTTTAACCTCTGCTGCCATTGCCTGTGTGCGTGTCTGTCACTTTTTGCTTTTTGCCACCTCTTCCCAATCCCTATCTCTCTCTGCCTTCTCTTTCACTCTCTCTGTCTGTTCTCCAGCTTCCCCCACCCCTGCAGCCCCACGCTCAATTTTCCTTTCCCCACGTACCTCTCTGCTTGCTCCAGCCTCCTTGCTCCAGCCTCTGGACTTCTCCTGTTGGCTTTCTGCTTTCAATTA